CACGCTACGATCCGATTTCTATCCAGCCCAACCTGATCGATTCAAAATTTCGGAAGCTTTCATGAGTTATTCGGCCACTTCTTCTCCTGAGTCTTTTTGATTGCTTTTTGGGGAAGACCATGATCCAGATATCAACCTAGATGGCCTAAGCACCGGTTGGCTCCGGGGTACGCGAAGCGAGTTGCCTGCCCCAAAGACCTGGATACCAAAACAAAAATGGAAGTCTTCCATTTGGTGAGATTGGCAAAGATTGACTCGGGTTCCGGGGAAGTGCCCAAAGCTGACCTTGCGGTGAGTTCGAGAGGTCAACTCAAGGTGAAGTAAGCCTACGAGGTGACACCAGCCCAGTGGCTTGTTTTGGTGGTCAGCGCCTGGGCTGGACGCCACCCCCGACATGGTCTAAGCTTGATTTCCTGCCCCTCCATTCCCCTCCATGATGGACATCGCCTCACCTCAAGCTCGTGAGCTATCCGATTCTATTCAGTGCTATTCACTCCGAACCCACAACTACCGGTTGGCTACGGGTTCGGTATCCATCAAATCGCATATCTAAGCTTCCGATGTTCGGTGGAGAGAAATTTCTTTCCAGGACAGGACAGCAAGCACCCATGCCTTTTTGGAACTGCAGACCATCTGTGGAACATCAATCGGACAGTCTAGACAGTCCAGGAGGAAGAGACCCAAGATGAGAAAGTGGCTTCGTTTTGACGGGTAGGGAATTTCAACGCAGTTACAGATGCAAATCCAGCTGTTTAGTGACAGCCAGTTTTCACTTGATTCATCTTTCTAGCCTTGCTATTGTACCAAGCGGTAGGGCTAGCTTCAGTCCAGTCGCCCTTGGCTAATGTGAGCATGTGTGTCCCACTCAACAATGATTCCATGCCGCCTTTCCATTCCCCTACCGTCTTCCCTGGAAAAGGGTCTGGTAGGATTGGAAGGCTGTCGGACCTCAACGTGATACCACCACCAGCCAAGAAAATCACCGACTTGACCAAGGGAGCCTGATCATGAGCCGGCCAGTTTTCTGAAGCAAAGGCTTACGACATTCCGAGTATTATTGTACTGTCAGTTGAAGTTAGACGGACTAGTGAACTCAACTGTCAGTTCATGAGATACCGATGATCTTGCAAGATCTTCGACGGCACTCTATATGGATTAATGCAGGGCATGGGTTGGCTGCACACGAAAACACGGGATGACCCCATCGTTTCACCGGACCACAGTCGACATGTCTCTTTTCTCTTGGCCGCGAAACAACATGCGCAGATTCTTTAGGCATTACCAGTGTTTTTTTTATTACTACATATTGATGGTTCAAATTTGGCCATTCATGAACTTCTCGGGGCCATAGTGGGGAATAAGCGCCATCATAAAACGCCTCTTACAAGTACAGACTGGCATGGACAACGGCCCCCTCACGGTGTGGCAGCTCCAGTCTTCAAGCTCAATTGCAAACCGCCTTGACCAGACAAAAAAAAAAAAACGCCCGGATTCAACAGATCAACAAGAAAAAAAAACGAGGACCCTGCAACAAGCGACATCCCCAAAGAAAACACAGGCTTCTTCCCCAACTGGCTGGTTGATCAAATTCAACTACATCACCCCTTGCCGCCTGTAGACATTGGACGTCCATTTGGTCGGCCGAGGAATTCCCCATCTTGGCAATTGAGTTTCTCAAGAGAGATATCACCAAAAAAGGCATTAGGCAAGACCCAATTGTTGGCTCTCAAAAAGCGAGTGAGTGAGCTTGTTCCCGTCCACCTGCTCCAAAAATATGGCCTGGGTGCGGGTATGGGCGATGGGTTGCGTGAGAAACCTGGCGTGAGTGGTGGCTAGTGATGTACCGGGAGGTGGGTCAACAGGGGTAAACTTCCTGCCCCTCGATGTACTGTACCTGAGGTACCCGTTACTTGAACCCCAAGCAGCGGTCCTTGCAGTTGCAGAGGCGTCAACCCCACTAAGTTTTTTGGGTGTGGTGAGACCTCAAGCTGGACCCGACAGGACATAGCACCGCGGTGAATTGGTGCTACAGCTGTCCACTGCTTGCTGAGAGAAGCCTCATCGACCCTTGAAAGCCAACCAAAACCAAAAAACCCAAGCCCAGTCCAGCTCTCACTTGCCCACCTCCCACCTCACCAGAGACGTTCAGGCATTCCTCCTGATTTCTAGGTCCCGTCCCATCCACTCACTCCCCTCCCCCTCGTCTTGTCTCGTCTCCGACTTTGTCTCCTTCAACTGACGGATCTTCTCGACCGTTTCTTCTACTCATCTCAATTCCTTCCTCATCTTCCTCTTCATACATCTCCCCCCATACCTAATTCCTTTGAGCCAACTTCTCCCCTGAGAGCTCAGAGCGTTTCCTCTCCCCAGCAGCTGACACCTTATTTGGTTCCTCCAGCGCTTTAAACCTTCAATTCTCCTGCCTCTACTCACACCGTCCAAGTTCGACATTCACAATGGCTCCCGCTTCCTCCAGCAGCCTGTCGGCCAACGACAACATTCAGCGTTTCCCGGCTCCCAGCCGACCTCTGAGCCCTCTTCCCGAGCACGCTCTCTTCACCGACAAGACGCGATGCTTCGTCTACGGTCTTCAGCCGCGAGCTGTCCAGGGCATGCTCGATTTCGACTTCATTTGCAAGCGCTCTAAGCCCTCGGTCGCCGGTATCATCTACACTTTCGGTGGTCAATTCGTCAGCAAGATGTATTGGGGAACTAGCGAGACTCTGCTGCCCGTCTACCAGCAGGTTGACAAGGCAATGAGCAAGCACCCCGATGTCGACGTGGTCGTCAACTTTGCTTCTTCCAGAAGTGTTTACAGCTCCACCATGGAGCTTATGGAAAACCCTCAGGTCAAGACCATTGCTATTATTGCTGAGGGTGTCCCTGAGCGAGTAAGTACATGCCAAATGCCATGTGCCGAAACAAATAACTAACAATTACTCTTTAGCGAGCTCGTGAGATCGCCCACGTCGCCAAGAAGAAGGGTGTTACCATTATCGGACCTGCTACGGTTGGTGGTATCAAGCCCGGCAGCTTCAAGATTGGTAACACTGGTGGTATGATGGACAATATTGTTGCCTCCAAGCTTTACCGTAAGGGTTCCGTTGGCTACGTCTCCAAGTCTGGCGGTATGTCCAACGAGCTCAACAACATTATCTCCCAGAATACCGACGGTGTGTATGAGGGTATCGCCATTGGTGGTGATAGATACCCCGGTACCACTTTCATTGACCATCTCCTGCGATACCAGGCCGACCCTGAGTGCAAGATCCTTGTCTTGCTTGGTGAGGTCGGTGGTGTTGAGGAGTACAAGGTCATTGATGCTGTCAAGCAGGGTATCATCACCAAGCCCATCGTCGCATGGGCCATTGGAACTTGCGCTAGCATGTTCAAGACCGAAGTTCAGTTCGGTCACGCTGGTTCTTTCGCCAACTCTCAGCTTGAGACTGCCAAGATGAAGAACGAGAAGATGAAGGAGGCTGGCTTCTACGTCCCCGCTACCTTCGAGGATCTTCCCGCCACTCTCAAGGAAGTGTATGACAAGCTTGTCTCCCAAGGCACTATCGTTCCCCAGCCCGAGCCTGTTGTTCCCAAGATTCCTCTCGACTACTCTTGGGCGCAGGAGCTCGGTCTCATCCGAAAGCCTGCTGCCTTCATCTCCACCATCTCTGATGACCGTGGCCAGGAGCTTCTCTACGCTGGTATGCCTATCTCCGACGTTTTCAAGGAGGATATCGGCATTGGCGGTGTCATGTCTCTGCTGTGGTTCCGCCGCCGTCTGCCTTCATACGCTTCCAAGTTCCTCGAGATGGTTCTCATGCTCACTGCCGATCACGGTCCCGCCGTCTCTGGTGCCATGAACACCATTATCACTACACGTGCTGGTAAGGACTTGATCAGCGCCCTCGTTTCTGGTCTCTTGACCATTGGCTCCCGGTTTGGTGGTGCCCTCGACGGTGCGGCTGAGGAGTTCACCCGTGCCTTCGACAAGGGTCTCAGCCCTCGTGACTTCGTCGACAGCATGCGCAAGGCCAACAAGCTCATCCCCGGTATTGGACACCGTATCAAGTCACGAAACAACCCCGATCTCCGAGTCGAGCTCGTTAAGGAATACGTTCTCAACAACTTCCCTAGCCACAAGCTCCTTGACTATGCTCTTGCTGTCGAGACTGTGACCACCTCCAAGAAAGATAACCTGATTCTTAACGTTGATGGTTGCATTGCTGTCTGCTTCGTCGATCTTGTCCGCAACTGCGGTGCCTTCTCCGCCGAGGAGGCTGAAGATTATCTCAAGATGGGTGTTCTCAACGGTCTCTTTGTTCTTGGCCGAAGCATTGGTCTTATTGCCCATTTCCTCGACCAGAAGCGTCTGCGTACTGGTCTTTACCGTCATCCTTGGGATGATATCACCTACCTCCTCCCCAACCTTCGGGAGGCTGGAGCCCCTGGCGCTGAGGGCCGGGTGGAAGTTTCTCTGTAAGAGATGGAGAATGATAATTCAAATGGGAAAGGATGAAATAAGGCGTCGAGCATTTGATGATTTAGTGCCAGCCTGGACGCGTCGTGGGAAAAAACGACGGTCTGTACGAGGATTCCAATACAATGTAACTAGTGCTGGAGGCCGCAAGATGGACCTCCATATTACTCGCTTGATTCTATAGACATGAATGTTGATGTTTGCTATGAAATCTTTTCGCGCTACATGCTTAATATGTCATGATCAACATGAAAGGTGGTTTGAGAACCCTCGTCTTTTCAATTCGAATCACTCTTGTATCAACCCGAATTTCTTGTAGATGTGGAGCGCTCACCAGCTCCCGAATCTTTGATGATATCGATCATATCTGTAGGGAAACATTGCGGCTGTAGATATCAGATTAAGGGAAAATGAATCACGGCACCTCAGGAAACCTCTTGAATCAGTGAGCACATCTTGGAAAAGATATCACTTCAAGTTTGATGTATTTCTGAGGCGGATGACTTAGCTCACGTGGTTCATCATGAGAAGTCCTCTCAGGGTGGTCACATGATATGTTACCAAAACGGTTTGGCGTACCCAGTGGTTTTGACGCCGATTCTTGAGCTCATGCTTTCTTTGACGACGGCCGACGAAACGTGAACGGCGGGCTGGTGTTTCTGGGGCTTCTTCGATTCCAATTGCAGGCTATCTATGGTAGGTCGCCCACATCTCCCATTTATAGGTAGATCTCGCTCACACAAAGTATAGATCCTGCGCTCCATTTCCTCCCAAGGATCAACCACTACAAACCACCTCCAACAATGTCTTTCTTCCGCATCACCCTTCATCGCTCCGCCATCGGTCTTCCCGAGCGCACACGAGGTGTCCTCGCCGCTCTAGGCCTGCGCCGTCGTATGCAGACCGTCTTTCATCCCGTTCACCCACAGTTCGCCGGTATGATCCTCAAGGTGAAGGAGCTGGTTCGTGTTGAGGAGGTAGATCGCGCCCTGAGCAAAAGAGAAGTGAAGGCTGCACGGACGCCGGATCCCGGGTTTTATGTTGAAAAGGCTGTGCCAAGAATGTAAAAATATGTGATGATACCAAGAAAGAGAAATGGGAGTGTACTATACTGTAATGATCCTTGTACAAAAGCTGGTGCAAGATAGGACGAAACTTTAGAAGTGCGATCAAGTCACATCGAGTTTTAATTCACAAATCACTTGGATGTAGAAATGAAATACAAGATGTTCGCATTGAGACCCTAAACACCCCGAACACGATATTCATTACAGATGTATCACGAATACCCCAACTCTCACAATTACGCGTCTAGCCCTCCTTTATCCCAACCGCAAGTCGTACTACCCCAAAATGGGCCATCATGTGAGTAAAACTCCTAGTCTGTCTCTCGCTACCCATCTACCAGAGTTAAAACCTGATATCGCCCCAACAAAACAGTCTCAAGTGGTGGAGTAGACAGCGCCCAAGGCAAAAGCCCTGATACTAGAAACTATGATTTCCTTGGTAAACTGTGCTGTTCAAAAGCTACGAGCTTTGTCAATATACTCCTGGCTGGGAGTCTCGTACTCATTGACAAAATATGTCTCGCAGTTACGTCCTAACCAGACATTGAACTTTCCTATCTCCTCTCGAAGACGGGACACGGACTGCTGGTCCATGTTGGTCTGCGCCAACAGTTCGGGGAGAGAGACTGGCAACATCAAGTCAGCAAGAAGTTATCTATAACTGGGGGCGAAGGGAAATGGCTACCAATTAGTCGAGCAAGATGCTCAGCGCCATAGACATCGCAGACATTGGTGATTTCTGGGTTCGCCTCAGTGTTCTCCCAGAGCTTCCTGATATCCATGTACTGATGGCGCTCGAAACTAGTCCCAGTCAGTTGTCTGAACCGATGAAAAGTGGTTAGACTTACCGGTACAGCAAAATTCTGCTAAGAGCCTTCTCGAAGTACTCACGGAAGCCTGCGACGACTTCTTCCAATATGTCCATGCTGGAAGATCCCTCTTCGCGGTGTGGACGCTCATGCGCAAGATAGTCTTCAAATATCTTGGTGACTGGCTTATTATGAGGAAGAGGGACAAGCTGGTTGTTCTTGGTGATGTTTTCCCAATCATCAACCAGCATCGCTTGAATGTGGTCGGGCACCGGGATTTTGATCATAGGTTTGTTGTGGAAAGCATCCTCCTAAGGCAAGGTTAGTACATGAAGCATTACGCAAGCTGCGAAACAGCTGGTGGCCGCTGCATAGGCATATGAAATCAAGGAGTGTATATGGGATCGAATACCGTCTCGAGCTGGTCGCATGAGCGCGGCTTGGGCTTGGCACTAGGCTTGAGAGGCTTCTGACGTGGCTGCTTTGGCTCATCTTCGACAGTCAGGGGCATAGCGTAGCGATCATCATGGATCAGTTTACCCGACTCTGATACATAGCGATGATCACTAGAGGGGAGAAGAGTAAGATGGTCCTTAGGTTCTTTGAGCTTGGTCAACTTGACCTTCTTAGAGGACTTAAGGGAATCCATCGACTTGTCAGGCTGGGCCAAATCAGGAGAGCCCCGAACATTGGTAGCAGGAAAAAAGCCTTGCGGAGCAGAAAGGTCGCTCGCCGAATCCATGACGCCGCAGTGCCTTGCCGTTGATGAAGGGCTGGGGGTAACAGGGGCAAGTGCTTAAGCAAGGGAAATGTTATGATGGGAAGAAGAAGACTAGGAAGCACGGGAACTTTGAAAACAGTAGAGCAGACAAGAGCTGCGGGAGGGAAAGGATGTAGTGCGTAGAAATGATGCCTTGTCAAAGTGGGATTTTGATGCTGGGACAAGGGCGAGGAGTGACAAGAAAGGAATCATGGAGGGGAAAACGGCAGCGCCATAGGCAGAGTTGGGTGTAGAGGGGGGCTGGATCACAATATAAGGCTCGGTATGGCCCTGGTTCAACCGATCAGATGGGAAAACACACTTTGATACAATAACAGCCTTTTCCCCAATTTTGATGAGATAAGGAGGTATCGGTGAATAGTGTAACAGAGTATGGATGCTTCTTCTTTCAACCAGTCTCACCAAAGGGCCAACTGGGCCAAATTTGCATATCACAGCCCAGAACTGCCAGAGAACACTCGCAAAAAGAACAAACAAAGCATTGGGTGGTATGGTCTGGGCGACGTAGCAAGGAATATCAATGAGCAAAGAATTTCTTACCTGTTCCAATTCCCAGTCTTTGCCTCGTCTTCCTCCCCTGCCTCCTTGAACAGTGGCAGAGCCTGATCGCTCCTCGCTGACTCTAGCAGACTCAGCACCACTTCTCAGGCCCTTTTTCGGCTGCTTAGTGCTTCGTTGGATGTTATGCTTCAACTGTGCGTGCAACTGTGCAGCCAGCTCTTTGTGCTCATCGTCGAAGGTCCGGATACGGTCTACCAGCACCCAGTCGTCCCAGGTGTTCTTCCACCCCTTGTAATGGACTTTGTACTTGTATCCGTCACTGGGCTTCTCAGCTGGCTGAACATCCATAATCTTGGCTTCGTAGAGCATGTCCATGTGGAAACATAGCACTTTTTGATCTTTGCTGAACGGCGGTGGTGCCGGTTGCTGTCGAGCAGGAGCCATGTCTGTTATGTAAAGGACAAAAAAGAGAAGAAGTTACAAGAGTGGTAAAAAAAGTGGTATAAAAGCAAAGTTAACAAAGCACGGATGCAGTTCTCAAAGTCTAGCCAAGTCCAAAATCGATGAGTGTTGATAATAAGAACAATGGGTATGGGGATGGATGGATGAGATTGAATGCCCAGATACAGTGCAGATACAGGTTTCTGTTAACAATTTAGGTAAGGTACCCGTAGTTTGGAGAAGAGAAGGTAAGGTACACACTTAGTTCGCGTTAATGAGGGAACAGGGGATGTTCACTGTGACCACGCGACGCGACAGCCCCCTTAGGTTGGTTCAGAGTCAAAAGCTGATGGAAGTACTTGAATGGATGTGATAAGATAAGGGATTTGTTGGTAACAAAGGAGTGGATAGTGGAAAGCCAATGCTTACACTGGGCTGGATTAGTGGGAGGTGACCCCCAGGCCCGCTCTCGAGACATCCAATCCATCCATATTGGATTCAAGCCAATTTAGGTTCTTGTCACTAGGAAAAGGTCTGGCACCTTTGAAGTTCACTAGAACTGACATTAGCAAACCGGAAACGGTCTGTGATTTCTTCTCTTCTCTTCTCCTTCTTTTTTTTTTTTTTTTTTTTTAACGTGATCAAGTTTCTTAGACTTGCAGTAAGTCGTATAGACTACACCCAAATTCCCTAGAGATATCTACAGCTCCATATATACACATCGTTCTTGACCTCAGCTTCTCCCGTCTAGCTATCATTTAGGTGGCTCTTCATCGTGGTATCTAGCCTCGAGTACTTAAGATACATATATGTCGAGGTTAGGTACACGTAGTGGAAGGCTTAAGCTAGGGAACTGTGTTACTGCTAGCAGACAACAGAAGGGTCATAAACAGTATGCTTTATGCCTTTATACTACTTTCATGTAAATCATCCCAGCTGATACAAGAACCCCTAAGCCATTTAGCTTTAATGATGTTGTGGTCCTTTCACTACCGAGTGCTGACACTAGAAAGAGGACATAATACGGTGTTCCATAAGTAGACATTAGCCATTTCCTCGGACCTTTGGCAGGAACTTGATTCATTGACTTGCTGGCACAGGATGACCAAATCTTGAGGTCAACTTGACAGCGGCTCAGCTTCATCTATTACTACTGTTATCAGTCGTGATGAAAGAGGGGCGCCGGCGAGCACTCCAAGGTCTAGAAAGAAGCCCAAGAGACATAAGGGTATGATATCATGAAAAATAGATGTACGTAACTACACTGTTCCCAGCTTGTGTTTGTACGAAACTTCGTTTATCATCAAAGAGGTGAAAACATGAAGAAGAGGAAAAGAGACGAGGAGGACACCGAACGGTACTCAGAAGGTCTACCAAAACCCCCTATTGTCTCGTACCTACCTATCCAGGCATTGAACAACGTCCTGTTGTGTAAGCTGGGGATAATGTGGGGCACTTAACGCGTTTCATTTTCAAGACGCGTCCTGATTGCATCCCATACCAAAGCTGAGCATATCGGTCCAATACCTTTCTTAGCATCAAGGGCCTTTTTCAACAATCGCACGGGGGTTAACTCAACTCGAAACCTTAGATATGGCACCAACAGAAGCAGAACTTCTTGCAAATTACCTCATACAGCCATCTCCTTTGACCGCTATCGTCACACTCGAGCAATTCAAGAACCTCTTTCCCCGTCCACTGCAGTCCTCACCTCAGGTTCGATCACTCTTTCGAGATCTACAAGCTCAACGCGCAGATCTTCTCGACCAAGTCGCCGAAAATATCGCACATGAAGCGAAACGGGGGATCACAATGCGACGAGAAGTCGTGCGGGCTAAGCGCGAGGCAGAGCGAGAGGATATAGACGCCGACATTGAGATGGAGCGAGCAGTATGTCCAGACGAGTACACATCCTCGTGCGAATACTGACCGACGCTGCTTACAGCTATTCGGAGATGTTTCAGGTGCAGCGAGTGCCAAACATACTCTCAACTCTGTTATTCCAGAACTTGAGGGTGCCGCAGGTGTACTACATGCCGAACTTGCACATTTGAAAGAGGAAGAAGCAACCCTGCTCGACTCTGTACAACAGACTATAGGAGCTTTGAGCGATCTACGATACGGGAAATTCGCCAATGGTCGAATAGGCGAGGGGGTCATCGATGGCCTCAAAAACGTAGAAGCAGCTTGCGAAAACAAATCATGAACGAACAGATCACTTCAAGGGTGTCTACAACTTCACGAGAATAGTCATCTTTCTGAGCCAGAAACTTCATATATTTGCACGGCAGATCAACATTTTCCCATATATCGAACGATTTGACGGTTCCATCACTAAAGCCTGTCAAGTGTTTGCTAACAATGAATTATTGGGCGCGCTGAGCACCGGCCTGGGGGGCACCGTTGGCGCCTTGCATGCGACGGGACCTAGTGCTATTAGTTTCACTTTTGTTTGGTTCAGGGGTTGTCACAACTCACATCATGGCGCGGCTACCGAAAGAGACAACGAGCATGAAGAGCCAGTTGGGGATGAGGCCCATAGCCCACATGAGGTAGCCGAAGGGAACAGCTACGCCATACTCGGCAAGCTTACCGTTGAAGGGATGGAACCAGCTGCTATCAATGCGATGGAACTGGTCCTTGCTACCGGACTCGTGGAAGGCAACCAGAGTGTCCGAGGTGGTGGTGGTCAGGTTAAGCCTCTTGCTATAAATCTCGACGGGCGCAGGTTCGGGGAGCATCTCAATGATATAGAGGCTGGCGGGACCTGCAGACCAGGCATTGCAGAGAATGGGCTGGTTGTCGCAATTCAAGTAGGCCATATGGGGGGTGTTGTCGAGGAGCGCAAACTTGGCAGCGGTCTCGTTGAAGGCCTGCTCGACAGTTCCGCATCGACCTTTAATTACATGTCAGCATTAGTTCATTACGACTGACACGGTGGTAATAATTTAATCTTTTTGTGGCATAAATCATATGGTGTAAATTCCTGGTGGGCAAACGTACCGTAGCATGTCTTGTTGCCGCCAGAAATGAGCAGCCACCACTCTTCAGGCGAAGTAGCACCAGCGGAAACAGGCTCGTAAAGGGTTTGTTTCCAGTTTTCCAGGGTCAGGACGTTGAGTCTCATAGAGCCAGCCTTCGCCTCAGCGGCTGCAACAGGGTCATGATGGCCTGGGTTGGGAATATATGAGGCGAATTGTCCGATGACATTTTGGAACTGGGCCTTGTACTGGTCGATAGGCGAGTCTTGAGCGGCAGCAAGGGCGGGCAGAGCCGCAAGAACAGTTGAGGATGAGAAGCGCATATTGGCAATTTACTTCTATGAGCTTGGGATATTTGACAGCGAAGTATGGCGCAAGTTAATTAACAAATATCGAACTTGAGGAGACTGCTGGAGAGGAATGGAAGAGAGGAAGAAGAAGAAGAAGAAGGAAGGGAAGATAAGACAGGCAGGCAATGGCCAGATGGAAAGATGAACGGGCTCCGGTGGAGATGAATGAATGGATGGGCTAAGGTAAGGGTAACTATGGCTAAGCTTGGATAAAGACCCCAGTGAAATTGGATGCATGGGGAAAGCTGGACCCTTGTAATCGTTGGGGAGATTCTTCAGTGGCTTATGTACTTTGTTAACTCCTCTTTATTACCTTGGCTGCTGACTTATACGTGAGGTACGGTAAAGGGAACCTAGGTATCTGTTTAAACCTGGAAATCCTGAGCAATGGAGGAGACAACTGGTAATTCAAGGGCTAAGAAAGAGAGAGGTAGAATCAAATCAAAGCAAAGGAACCAGGTCAATCAATGCACTTTTGCGCATGAATGATACTCCAGAAATTTGGTTCTTGATAACGCCGGTAATCGACGTGTTATGGTCATATAACATGGATGCTGAAGTTTTCCATCCACATGGCGTATTCCCCCGCGCAAAGTCAAACCCGACCGACAAGTTGAAAACCAATGATGACACCTAACGAGCAACGATTTGATACCTCCAGCCCACCCTGACAGCTAACACATGCCTAGGTAGGTGTCTAGGTACTTATTAGTAAGTTAGACCAGTTCCACTAAATTGGGCAAACCTCCTGTTCCGTCACTCCACGAGACCCCAACAGCTAGCTACCTTACCACACCCCAGTCACGATCACAAATACAAAGACACGGACCGACACTTATTCCGTGTCATTCTCACGTCCTTTCGGCGCGCGTGTCTGTGAAGTGATTCACGACACTACCAGATTTTAACAATAAGTTCTATTCTTGGTCTTGAAGTTTCTGATCCTCTTATTTGTTGTATTCTACACTTGTCTACTCCAATTCTCTACCTACGTAACGTTCTCCAACTCGTATAATCGGTGTGCCCATACCATTCGACCCGTCTCGTAGCAACGACCGTGCCCCCGGTTCTATTCCATCACGTTCACTATGAATCCTCAGATGGGCCAGCAAGGCCAAGGCCAAGGTCAGCAAGCTGGTGCTGGCCAGGCACAGCAACGTCCACCACCTATGTATCAACCCAACCAGATCAGGAACCTTCCAACATTGAGTGACGAGGAAAAGTCCAAGTACGAGGCCGGATTGCAAGGTCTTTGGAACAAAGCCAACAACTCTCCCCAGAACAGCCCAGACAACATTGCTGCCCGTCAGAAAATCATAGAGTTCTCGAAGATGCTTATCACAAAGATCCAGCAAAGACGATCCCAGCAGATGCAAGGACAGAATGCCCAGAGCCAGCAGGCTCGCCCTCAGCAAATGCAACAGAACGCTGCTGGGCAAGCAAATCAAGCACAGCCTCAGCAACAAGCTGCCGGGGCTGCTGCAGGTAGCCAACCAGCTACTGCTGCTGCCGTTCGACGAAACCCAGTCCCCGATCATATCCAGCAGCATGTTAATAAGGTTAATTTTCGAGCTCCTCAGTCCGTCATCGATAAATCCGCTGCCGAGGCTACCAAATGGATAGAAGAGATCAAGGAACGTTATACCCGAGCCTTGATGACTATGGACGCGAG